ACATTTATACACACTCAGTGACCAGTCAGAACCCCCCGGATCAGAACATCTGTTTGTGAGCAGTTGTGAACATGCGTGTATATACAGTACAAGATTTCTCCAATGGAATATTTAATAGTGACTGTGGAGGACCTGAGACCCAAGACACAAGGCAGACATAGGGAAGACCAGAACAGTAATTTAGGATACACTGTCTATGTCCAAAACGAGAGGCTGGGTCCTCCGAAATACCCGGCCTACCTGACTGAGGTGGGTTGGGTCCTTGGTAGACCGTGAAGACCAGAAAAAAGTAGCTGTGAATTTGGACTGTCTAGCCTCCCGTCCTTACCCCGGCGTACATCCTGTGTCATGGCAATCGTGACAACGAATTAAAATTAGATCGAAATTAGAAAAATATCAATATATTAACGTTATCAATATCACTAAACAATAAAATTAACTTAAAGGAAATATTTGAAGAACTAATGGACACACGTAGGTGCATGTCACTTTACCAGTAGTTAKTTTTTTCTGACAAGAATAATATTAAAATCATGTCTATGCATATTACAAAACCTTTAACAACACAACCGCTTGAAAATTGTAATTTTTATACCACCATATTTTTATTTAAAACATACTCTTTTCTCGAACTTCGCCCACCATTACTAGCTGAAAAAAAACCTCAGGTCAGCCCGCAATGCATTATGGGATATGGTGGGCCGAGAAGGAACCATCAGACCAGTCCTTCAATTCAGAGAAAAGAAAGGACGCATTTGTCTGTCGCATAAGAGGAGTCTTTGGATTTTGACAGCCTCCATTGCGGYGCTGTGACGTAAGCAGCTGAGAAATTCRGCCTTCGAAGGACCCAGCCTCTTGTTTTGCATACAGCTACTATATTACCAAAATTTTTGTCTTACCTGCCTTGACTCACATTTGAGCTTGAGCAACCTCCCATTTCTAATCCATAGCATTCAATATGATGTTGGTCCACTAGAACAGTTTAGCCTAACTGTGAAGATGTGGCATCAGGGCATGGAGT